TATGGAACTGAGACGTGGTCCTTCACTGCTGGCCGTATGAGGAAGCTCAAGGTCGCTCAGCGAGCTATGGAGAGGGCTATGCTCGGAGTTTCTCTGCGTGATAAACTTAGGAATGAGGATATCCGCAGTAGAACCAGAGTAACCGACATAGCCCAACGGATTAGTAAGCTGAAGTGGCAGTGGGCCGGCCATATAGCTTGAAGAACCGACAACCGATGGGGAAGAAAGGTTCTCGAGTGGCAGCCTCGTACCGGTAGGCGAAGTGTAGGGCGTCCCCCCACGAGATGGAGTGACGACCTGGTAAGACATGCAGGAAGTCGATGGATGCAGGTGGCTCAGGACCGTGCTTTGTGGCATTCTTTGGGGGAGGCCTATGTTCAGCAGTGGACTTGTGAATGGCTGTAATGAATGAATGAATGATGAATGTAAGACAGGGTGATGTTATATCCCCGAAACTCTTCACCGCTGCATTGGAAGACGTTCAAGCTTCTGGACTGGAAAGGATACGGTATTAACATCAATGGCGAGTACATCACTCACCTTCGATTTACCGACGATATAGTCCTTATGGCAGAATCGCTGGAGGACCTAAGCACTATGCTCAATGACCTCAATACTGTCACCTAACGAGTAGGTCTTAGGATGAACATGGATAAAACAAAGACCATGTTTAATGTCCATGTCACACCTATGCCGGTAGTTGTTGGGAGCACTAAGCTCGAAGTTGTTGACGAGTATGTTTACCTGGGACAAATTGTCCGACTAGGTAAGTCCAACTTCGCCCGAGAGGTCAATCGACGGATTCAACTCGGCTGGGCAGCGTTCGGGAAACTACGACACATCTTCTCGTCAGACATATCTCAAAACCTTAAAACGAAATTGTACAACCAGTGCGTGTTGCCAGTGATGGCTTACGGATCTGAGACGTGGTCCTTCACTGCTGGCCGTATGAGGAAGCTCAAGGTCGCTCAGCGATCTATGGAGAGGGCTATGCTCGTGGTTTCTCTGCGTGATAAACTTAGAAATGAGTTTATCGAGTGTGCGTTTGTGCGTGTGCGTGTGTGTGTATGCGTGTGTGTGCGTGTGCGTGTGCGTGTGCGTGCGTGTGTTTTTTTTATAGTATCGGGTGACAAACGAGCACACAGTTCACCTGATGGTAAGTGGTTACTGTGACCCATAGACATCTACATCTCCTCAATAAAGACTCAAGATGCAGATGCGTTGTCACCCGTGAGGACTAAGATGGTATGCCTCTTTGCCAGTAAAAAGGGTCTCCGGTTCTCTACACTCACCGTACGAAACACAGCAGTGTTGAGCTGCTATTTTACGCTGGTTTTCTGTGAGAGCGTGGTCCTTCCCCGGTCGAGCCGACCCATTCGTGCTACAACCATAATATAGCTGCAGCGTGGCTATACCACGTAGTGTGTGTGTGTGTGTGTGTGTGTGTGTGTGTGCGTATGTTTGTGAGCGTTTGCATGTGAGAGTGTATGTGAATTAGTGAATAGAATATAATGACTTTACACTATATTTGTTAATGTAAGATAGGTTTCTCAATTTCATCATAGTTTTTACCTCGAAACCAGCTCTGTAGTGTGTTCTTGAAACTATGTGTCGCTGTTGGATAAAAATTAAGAATTTTATTTAATTTGTTATAAATATGTGCGGATTGTCTCCCAAATTGTCTCCTGGCGTAGGCAGTTTTAACAAGGGTTACAGGTGCAACATTTAATATTCCTCTTTTATTTTGTCTAGGGGGGTTGTAGCGGAGTTTTCTATGATGTTTTAAAAATGCGTATAAAATGTTAAGTTTCCTTACAGATAGCCACATTGGGAATATAGACTGACGGTTGGAAATCTATAAGGTTTAAAATAAATCACTTTAAGCAGTATAAGTAGATCTCTCAATACTAGTGACTGCCTACTTATGCAAGACCAGCATATACTGGATACAGTTTAACACTTGATCGATAAAAGAAACAGATTGAAAGTAGCAGCACTTTTCATTACCACTCTTTCATTAATATTTATTAATAATGAAGCCGCGTCTCGCATGTTTCTAAATAACAAAAAATGTGAAACAGACAAGTTAGTAACGGCTCCGTGGTGCAGTGGCTTAGTAAAGAGTTGCAGCGCTATGGCCAGCGGGTTCGAATCCCGGACGGAACAAATATTTTTATGGCCTACAAATATTTGTTCTGGAACTGTTATATGTAAGTAAACTGTCCCTGTTATACAGGAGAAAATCCTAGGGTAGAGGTAACGTTTTTTTTTAAAAGAGGAAGAGAATAAACTATAGAAATTAAAAATTTTGCAACTGACTTCAATATTAATAAGCATTATTAAGGATAACTGGTCAGATCTTGAACAAATTTATGTGGGATGTATAAATTATAAGCACCAGCTTTCAAATAAAAATAGAATCATCAAAATCGATTTACCTAGAAAAAAGTTTTGAGGTAACACACATAAAAAAATACAGTCGAATTGACTACTATTTTGAAGTCGGTTAAATGGTAAGTAGGTAAATTATCTGAGTTTCAAAGACGTTCACGTTGTTATAATCTTAATTTTCCTCGATGTTGCATATTAATCTTTCTTACATTGAACAATAAAGTTTTTATTATCAGCAAATTGATGGCTCCGTGGCGCAGTGGCTTAGCAATGAGTTGCAATGCTGGGGCCGCAGGTTCAAATCCCGCACGGAACAAGTATTTGCATGGCCTACAAATAATTTATGTTTCTTAACTGCCTCCACGATACAGGAGAAAATTCTAGTGTGGGGGTAACGTTTTTTAACAAAATAAAAATATTAAAGAAATATTAACACCTCGGTGTATTCTTCTATATAAAAACTAATATCAAAGGATTAAATTTGTTTACTCACAAGCTCACAACACCTAACCTTACAGTAGAAGCGGTCTTAACAAAGGCGCGTAATGGGCTAAAGACACTCGCATGCGGACAGGTGCATTTTGATTTAATACGCGCGCCACATATAATCTTTTTTTTTCGACGAAATGAACGATAGGCTAATTTCACTAGTGTCACTTCCGAGGCGTGCAAAGTAGAACATTAGCGACGTTGTAACAAAGTTTAAACTCGCAAGTTTGCTCAGAGAATGGTCCTTCTGTTCTTTTAACGATTGTTTATTCAGTGCTATAGCCTAGGGCAGGTATCACCAACTAGTTTAATTGCGGGTCCGTTTAAAATAAAATATAAATCTATCGCGGTCCGTTTGCTAGATGATGACTAGGAGCCGAGATTTATTTACATTTCCTATATAACCAAGTGTAACCTTAATAAAAAAAAATCTGATTTCTTTTCGTTTTATTTGTTAATTGACATTTTAAATCTGAGAAACCAATATTAATGCGAAAAAGGTAATTTTTATCTGAACATCTGTCTGGAGTCTGGAGCTAAGTTGGTGCAAACCTTTACCACCCTAATTATATCCAAAATTCTTAGCAAGAACATTTATTTACCACAAATTTTTACATTGATATACTTATATTCTTCTGGGTCCACACAAAATATGTCGGAGGTCCAGATCCGGACCGCGGTCCACTATTTCGTGACCCCTGGCCTAGGGTGCCGTCGACAATTAATCCGCCTCTAATTAAAAGGATATTTGAGTGGCAAGACATATGAATAATAATAGGTTTTAACAGATGTATGCTGTCGCGTTAGAAATGAGCAACCGAGCCAGATAACCTAAAGAGACATTGTGTCGTAATAAACATTTGCTCTATTTTGTTTGTTTGTAGTTTGTGGTAAGTTTATAGTACAATTCTCATGCCGAAATAATCTTAGGTTTTAAACTATTTCAAAATGTCATCAAAAACATTTTTCTCGGGATGTTGATTATTAGGTTGATAGATAGAAGACAAGCGTTTTTACTTTCAAACTCAAAAAGCATGCACGGTTCGGGCCCGCGCGGTGGACATTTCCCTGATCTAAAACCCTCTAAAACGAGAAAAAGCCTATGCCCATCAGTGAAATGTGTATAGGTAGGCTGTAAAAAGGTAAAAGGCCTATAAACGTATGTAGGGTATATAGTTCTAACAGCTGGGCACATACTACTTTTTGAAAGAGTTATAACGTTATAAGTAACGCTGCTCCAACGCGTACTGGCGGACTTCACACTTCAAACTCAAAAAGCATGCACGGTTCGGGCCCGCGCGGTGGACATTTCCCTGATCTAAAACCCTCTAAAACGAGAAAAAGCCTATGCCCATCAGTGAAATGTGTATAGGTAGGCTGTAAAAAAGTAAAAGGCCTATAAACGTATGTAGGGTATATAGTTCTAACAGCTGGGCACATACTACTTTTTGAAAGAGTTATAACGTTATAAGTAACGCTGCTCCAACGCGTACTGGCGGACTTCACACTTCTTCGAGAAATATTTTTATTCCTCAGACATGCAGGTTTCTTCACGATGTTTTCCTTCATCACTGAATAAGAAATAGAAAAGTAAAATATGAAGTAATAAATCAGCACACAAAATTGCATTTTACATTTTCACTGGTGCCGTTCAGAATCGAAGACCGATTGTTCACATAGTCCCTGATCTACTACGGCTCTTACTGTTACTGTTAAGTATAGATTGTATATCGTCATCATCATCATCATCATTATAGTTAATGATTTCTTACGTTTACGCGAACACTACATATTTAAAGAAAACTAGTTTTCACCGATTTTATCTCGTATATTAACTTATTTTTATATTCTCAACGCTTCTAGCACTTTATGCGCCCACGGTCAAGAGGGGACAGAGGTTTTTATCTTTCCAATGTAATATAATAGTTAACCTCGAGCAAACGTATGTATGAAATTACTCTAAGGTACATATGATTTACTCTTAGGTGCTTATGTCCAAATCCCATTGTCAATGTCAAATCTCAAGTCAACATTTTGTTTAGATTTTAGAAATGTAAACTATGTTTGGACGGTGTCAATGGGTTTTTAGGCATTAGTAGTAATTAAAATAAGAAAACAAAATGAATCACGAAGAGATACTTTCGGTGGTACAGGAGAAGTTTTTATCGAGTGAACGCGTGACAGCGTTTTTATGCGATGCTAAAGTGCTGCAACCTGACTGCATTAAAAAAGATAGACTCCTTGCAATTGTTGAATATGGAGATGAAAAAGCTGTTTTTTGTTTGTTCACCTCATGTTACCCACCTAAATCCTTTACTGATTTATCAATAGAAATAGTACTACCCATAGATAATAGTTTTAAATGTGAAATTGATAATAAACCATCGGATCCTGAAGCAATTTTGTACCTGAATCTCCAGTCACGTAATAGTAAGTTTAAGTTTGAAATCCAAATGACTCCTCGGGTCGATAACTTCGTTGATGATTTATTTCGTGGTATCGAAGCTGTAAACAAACTTCCTACACAACCTGAGTTTGTTTGGCTCAAAAAATATATTGGCCAAAGAGAAGATGACATCATAGCGCAAACCATGGTTCTACCTAGAAGTGGAATGGCTCATACTCAGGTGTCTGCGCCAGTGACCATAAGAGAAAGTCTTATAAAGAGAAAAATGAGTGATAAAGAATTTGAATACACATTCACAAAAAGGTTTACAATATTTTGTGGTACATGGAATGTTAACGACAAGTCACCTGTCATCCCTTTAAAAGCCTGGTTATGTGTTGATAAGGAGCCTCCAGACATATATGCTGTAGGTTTCCAGGAACTGGATCTATCCAAAGAAACATTTCTTTTTGATCAGACATTCAGAGAAGATGAATGGTACAATGCAGTTAGAAGTAATGTTGATCCTAGGGCTAAGTATGTTAAAGTTGAAATTGTAAGACTTGTAGGTATGATGCTTATAATATTAATAAAAGAAAAGCACATGTCACATGTGCGTAATGTGGTCTGTGATACAGTAGGAACAGGAATTATGGGTAAAATGGGTAACAAAGGTGGTGTTTCTATAAGATTTGATCTCCATAATACGTCAATATGCTTTGTCAACTCGCATTTAGCTGCCCATGTAGAAGAATATGAGAGGCGTAACCAAGACTTTCGAGATATATGCAACCGTACAAGGTTTGTTCAAGCAAATCAACTGCCAAAAGCAATAAAAGATCATGATCAAATTTACTGGTTGGGAGACCTTAACTATAGAATCACAGAATTGGATCCACTTAGTGTGAAGAAAATGGTAAATGAAAATAATTTTGCTCCTGTTCTGGAGTGGGACCAGCTCCGACAACAGCACAAAATTAATAATGTGTTTGCTGGGTATACTGAAGGGACAATCACATTTAAACCTACATATAAATATGATCCAGGCACGGATCATTGGGACTCTAGTGAGAAGAACCGAGCCCCGGCATGGTGTGATCGAATCTTTTGGAAAGGTAATAATGTTACACAGTTAGCTTACAGAAGTCACCCAGCTCTAAATATCAGCGATCATAAGCCTGTGTCAGCGCTATTTACATCTGCAATAAAAATTGTTGATGAAGAAAAATATAGAAAGATATATGAAGAAGTTATCAAGCAACTTGACAAGTTGGAGAATGAGTTAATACCCCAAGTTAAAGTTGATGTAACTGAAATTGATTTTGGTACAGTAAGGTACTTAGAGTTACAGGTACGCTCCATCACAATAAAGAACACTGGTAAGTTGCCAGTTGAATTTGAGTTCATTAATAAGATGGATGAAACAAGCTTTTGCAAAGAGTGGCTTATAGTAGAACCATACAAGAAGTGTATTTGTGCTGATGAGTCATGCGAAATTCAACTTAAAGTACTTATAAATAAAACTTCAGCCTGCAAAATGAATGCAGGAACTGATAAACTTTATGATATACTTGTATTACATTTATATGGGGGTAAAGACATTTTCATCACTGTTAATGGCACATACCAAAGAAGCTGTTTTGGGTGCTCTATAGAGGTTCTAGTTAATCTTAATATACCAATCAGGGAGGTACCTGTTGGAAAATTGATTGAGCTAGAAAGCAAAAGAGACCAATGCATTTCAAATCAGTCTACCTACTCTATACCAAAAGAGATTTGGTTCTTAGTAGATCATATATATTTGCATGGATTAAAGGAACCTAATTTATTTGAACAACCTGGTTTGCATTCTGAAGTATTGCAGATCAGAGATTGGTTGGATGCTGGTTCTATAGATCCAATTCCTGGAAGTATCCATTCAGTAGCTGAGGCATTACTCCTCTTGTTAGAAAGTACTGCTGACCCAATAATTCCATACAATCTGCACCCTGTTTGTTTAAGGGCCTGTGCTAACTATTTACAATGCAAACAAATAGTAATGGAGTTGCCAGAGTTTAGAAAAAATGTTTTTCTTTACTTATGTGAATTTCTCCAAGAAGCTCTACAGCACAGTGATGAGAATGGACTAGATGCAAAAACATTATCTACATTATTTGGCGCCATATTTTTAAGAGATAATCCAAATGTGGTTCAAGAACCACAGTCTCGAATAAACAAACAAATTATTGATAAGAAAAAAGCACAGTTCGTTCACCATTTCTTAGTGAACGATCACAGTGACTTAATTTTTTCTAGGTAATTCATTCAGTCATTAATTTGCTTTTATTGAGCATAAAAATACTCATCTGTATCTTCCATATAACTTACGACATTTATATCTCATTATGTACGAGTATATTAAATTTTCTTTTTATACAAGTCATTTCAAATATATTGCATTTTTATAATGCATACACTATTTTAATTATGTATTTTTTTAGTTTAACTCGTGTCACCAAATATTTTAAAATATTGACCATGACTATTTATCTAATCCTAATTTATTTTCTTGTAGCGACCCAAGGTGTTTTAGGTGCTATACATAATTGCATGTTATGAGAAAACATTTTTCTAAAATGCTAAAGGATATAGTATCTTTATTATTTATTATTAGTAGATTTAGTTATCACCAATGCAACGAATGATTTGTCAAACATAAAGATTTGAAACTTTATTTATTGTTATTAAATTTTAATTTATAATGTGCAAAGATGTAAAAGTGATGTCTTATTTCCAAGTTTGCAACAGCAGTGTTGCCGACACAATTTTTAATAATATATGTAACTATGACATTTCATATATTTATATGATTATATTGATTATGCTTAAATTATAGGGTATTTATATTCCATCACAAGTTAAAGCACTCATTATTAAATGTCATAATATAATATCTCCCTATAGTCTTAGACACGAGAAACTAGAAATTAAGTGAACTAACACTTAGTATTCTTTTTGGTTAATGAACTGCATTGCATTATACAAGTTCATTAAACAAAAATAATAAAAATTATTATATGCAGCATTGTTGATTCTGGTATTGGCATATAAGTCCATTGTAGTGAAAATTATGGGAATAGGGGTTGTCAATATTTATCTACCATTCGAAGTTACTAATTTTATTAAATTAGTAAACTTACAATGTAATCAATATCATTTATACCCAACATAATATACTGTAGTGCATGTAGTATTTGAAAGTAATTATAGGAATCATTAAAATTTTACAAATACATGAAATAATTTGTAATTTTACTCTAGCTTCTCGTATTGATAAATAAGTTATTTGTGATGTATGGGTAGAGTTTTAAATTTATGTTACTATGGTTAGTGTCTTTAGTTTTAGTCCGTATTGCTGTAGTTGTCTTTGCCATGTGTTGTAAAGCGGCATAAGTAATCCATTACCCCATTTTATTTATAATACTGCCATTCTATTAACACTATGTATATTCCCGTTTACTACTCCATGTAATGGATGCCATACACGATCCAGTTTAGCGTCAAGTTTCCAGCGCGCTTGAAGCGGCGTCCACTAAACTTGACGGCGTATGGCTATCAGTGTGCATGACAAGTCTACTTGAAGCAAAAATTGAATTTCGATTCTGCCGACTTGATCAAGCTGGCAGCGTATGTAAACATGAACGGTCAAGTATGCATGACGTTAGTCGGAGCAAATAAGCGAGTGACGCCATGGTTTCAACTGATGCGGCAAACTTGACGGCGAACTTGAACGTGAGTGATCTATATGGAACCACTGCAAAATGACGCCGCTTCAAGCGCGCTGCAAACTTGACGGTAAACTGGATCGTGATCGTGGTTCACGACAGCAGTCAAATGGAAGGACACACGACTAATCTTAAATTTCGTCCCGTGGGTGTCACAAGAGGTGACTGTGAGGTAATATGCGAAAAAGATCTTAAGGCTTCTCATTGATGGCGGTATAACTATCTCGTTTATGCCAAGCGTAAAATACGCATTACGCATACCGACAACGGAAAACAACGTCAAAGGTGCGAAACGTCTGGTAATAAGGCAATCCGCTTGACAAACTCAATAATTAAAGCAAATCTTCTGGAAGAGGCCCATGTTTTGGTCTTGGTGTTGACTTTTACTGGTTGTTGTTTGTCTAGGACGTGTGTGTCATTAGGTTTTATCTTAATCTTATTTATTCAAAAACTGAACTAGATCAAATAGTGCTGTTTATCATGTATACATATGTACAAAATTTGAGAAGACATAGTTACGTGCGAAATTTGTAACATTTATAAAAGTATTTAAAAATATTGTTAATTTATTAAACAACCATTTTAAACATTTTATTGTTTTATTCTAATTCCATCAATATTTAAGGACAAATGTTTGGTATTGATGCAATTTTTTATGTAGAAATATAGAAGGCTAACAATCTTCCGCTCACGAGATGTCGCTAGTTGTCATTATAATTGAGAAGTTGCGTTTTAAGTCTCGGTAGTAAATACAGCAAACAATGCCTCAGTGGTTTGGTCTTTAAATTTTTTCACATTTCCTAACTTTTTTAAATTTTTCTACTTTTATGAATATACGTAATTTAATTTATTAATATCTTATCAAATTAATATAAAATTTGACTAATATTACAGAAAGAAACATTAACTTTTTACATTTTCACAAATATATCACCTCATTTCTAAATGGCGCCGCCCTGGTGGCAAAAAGTTGTGAATGCCCTCATTTACTTCCTCGTTGGTTGTAGTCACAGAGGTTTTAGTTTTTAGTCTAAAATAACGGCCGTAAGCGCGGCTGCTTTTCATGATGTGGTTCTGAATTCGAATCTCAGGACGGGCCATAATCAATTATTAGTTCAAGAAACTCTTAGTGGCTATGTATATTAAATACATATTTACACTCGTTATCTACCTTCTTTGAATAAATTAAGTAATTACACGGCGAAACAAAATTTTAAAGTATTTCCTTGATTTCACAGTACATAAATGATTAGCAAAAAATTTGTTATAAATTATGATTATTTCCTTGATTATAGATCAAAACCATTTATTGATTCAATATAAAATTTTTAATCATTCTCGTGAGTTTTAAGAGATGGCGCTATTATCAATTTATATAATAAAATAAAAGCAGTTTTCCACATAATGCGAATAAATATTATGTTAAATGTTACATACATATAAAATGTAAATTATTTATAGTCGAATAGTTTTAGATATTATGTATTGAAATGGAATGAAAAAATAATATGAACGCAGCTAACTAGATCACTGGTCGATTAAAAATTGCGGTAAATTTGATTTCAACCAACCACGGCGTCGCATTCGACCGTTATATGAATGTCAACCTAAGCTTCAGATTTCAGTCACATTTCATTCATAAAAACGTTTTCTCTTCAACGAACTCATTATTGCTGTTGCTGATTCGACTCCTGTCTTCCTACGTTTCGAATTTAATTCAATCTTTAACTGTCTCAACCGTGCTCAAGTGATTAAAGTTTGCTGCATAGAAATTATAAATTGCCGTGCACTAGCTTTACAATCGGACGCTGGTAAAATTCCTGTTCTTTGTTCCCGGTGCTAATACAGAAATGGAAGTTGAAATCAAATGTAAGTACTTGCTTTATACCGATTTTGTCCTTAGAATTTTTTCTACTTTTTTTGTTCTTTATTGAATATGATTAAATAGAAAAAATTATATTGATTATTCTGTAAACCCTGTGTATATAAGCTGATGATCATGACGATATATTATTATGTTTTTCTGATGCCGGTTGTGTTTACAAAATTATATGTCTTGCCGTTCGTCCCTCGTGATTTCAATATTCAATATCAATATCTACCTGCAGTCAAACACAATACACTATAATTTTTGTAGCAGAGAAAATTATAGAAAATATATTATATAAGTTATACCTACCTTACTTTTTAGGGTCTTAAAAAAATATCATTTACATTTACCTTATAGCCTCCAGTCACTAATCTATTGCCGTGTTATTCGTTTGTTTATTTTATGTTTTTTTTGTTTTCAAGTTATCAATATGAGTGACCTAATAAAACTTAGGAAATGGTTTACTATCAACATCCAGAATGTCTTGTCTATGTATGCATCATTAAATCATTCAATATGCTTCTTATCTTCTTATCAACTCTTAAGAAAATATTTCCAGCAACAAACTGGTCAAAACTACCTAATTAGGTTGAGAATGATTAATATCGACAGAAGTAAAGTTGCGTGTTTAAAATGTAACACCCCAAGGCGTGTTATTATGATTTTTATTGGTATTTTTAGAGATGTGATACGACCGTATAAGTTTTTGGCCGTAGTTACCTGACTACTAAATCTCGGGATTTCGGCAGGATCTAATGATTGTGCAAAAACCTTTAATTATAATATGTGATTGTTTAGTTTATCCAGATGACCATTAAATGAATCCGGATCAGGCGTGTTTACACACTGGGCTACAAATGCAAATAAACCGACGGAGTAACAAAAAGAACATGCCTGAGTGTCGTGGAATACTCGGTTGGAACGAAGTTTCTTTCGTAGTATATTATTATTGACAAACGTATTATATTATTGATTAACAAATACAAATAAATGAATTATCACGGCACTGCAGAGCTGCGGGTTCGAATCCTGCACGGAACAATAAGTGTTTGTATGGCCTACAAATAATGGTTCCAGATTTAAATGTGAATAATTGTGTAATTTATCTATGTACACCGCCATCGCACTGTAGGAGTAACGTGTCTTCGCGGTATATGAGTAGGATTTACTGTGGTGCATGGTCTTAAAAAATCATTGGATTCGCCCTTGTTTGGTGAAAAAAATCTGGTTGTTTATTGTCCCTCCCTGCCTCTGACTCAGCATCAGAGCCTCTCTGCGATTATAAAACGTTAGCGATCTTTCAGTTGTTATTAGGAAGATGCTGCTCTCCATGTTCTGTATAATTTCCGTTTGTCGCTTCTTATGGCACCCACGGGATTATATTCGGGAAGAATTTTCTTACGCCACCACTACACGGCATCACGCAGCACGGCAGGTACCTACATTATATATATGATTATTTATCAAATTATAAAAGCTTTGTTTATTTTATTAAATCTCACAACGGAGAATTGAGTTCTTTTTTATCTATATAAATTAAATGATAGAAGTTTGCAGGTGTGCGCGCATCAAGGAAAAATTACTGGATAGATTGTAATTAGGTTTTCTCGGTTTTATTTCTTAGACACTTGGCCCTTATCTAAATTGCGATATCTTCATTTTATA